TAACAGACCGAACACACCGCGCGCTGGGACGATTCCTGTCGGCTGATTCCCAGTAATAAACCTTATGACTCTACAAGAGACATTGAATGCATCCACTCCATGATACTCGCCCGGGAGCATTACTCCTACCTGGAAGGCCGACTTTGGAATAGGGGTTTGGAGGCGGAGTCACTGGAAAAAGGGATAAGCATCTTTGCGCCTTAATCCCTTCACCGTACAACTTTCCGTCGCGGAACTGATACAGGGAACTGGCACGACCGCGCTACCTTCCCACATAACCTCTTGCATTTTCATAGGTCATCGCGAATCGCTCCTTTGAGTGGGCTGCCATCTCTTGATGTACACTCCGAACTGACCATATGGGAAGGGTGACGACCATCGTTCTTCGTTCCCGTAACACCTCTCCCCTCGTCCTCTCATCCAAAGGGAGGAGCATACCAATGAAACCATCACAACAACAAGGCTGGAAGTTCTAAGATAACGGGGGGGGGTATAAGAATCACGGTGATTACTTTACGCGCAGTTTGGGGGCCTGTGTACCATCTTCGTCAGACATTTGAATGCGGTCGCGCCGTGGCCTATGCGGAGTCTATAACTTACTGATGATAACTTACTGATTTACTGGAGCCAGTCGATGTACAAGTCGGATTTCTCATCCCACCAGAATAATGTGTTACTTATTTTACCACCCGCGGAAGAGAGAAGGCTTAGTTCGACTGAATGGGAGCCGATCCACGATTAGATCCCTGGAGCGCGACTGAGCGAGCCCTTTCCCGCTACCCCTCAGCATCCACTACAGGGGACAGTTCCTTTATTTGAAGTGAATGTGACGAATCTCCGAACAGTATGGGTATCTAAGGAAAAGTGAAAGAAGTAATGAAGAGGCATTTTACTCAACCAATGCGGCGCCGAAGATGCTTCGGATCGGCGAATCAGTGACGACCTACGAGAATACCCTACCCTGTCATCCTGTAGGGCAAGTGATTTTTACAGTAAGCAGGAGACCGAAGGTGTCACGCCCACCTGTAGCATAGCTCTCCACTCGACTCGTCACAAAGCTCTCCTTGATTTGAAAGTCTGGAAGACGAATCTTATGCAAAATCAGTGCCTTTATTCGCCCATGTGACCACACGTATCGCACCTGATCGGCTGTGTAACCATCTGAAAGTATAGTTCTGGTCGGCAAATAAGTGACATAGAGTTTTCAAAAGTTAAATTTTTAATTTTTAAAATGACAAATGAAAGAATGAACAAAATATTCACCAAAGGGTTTAAAAATTTGAAACTTCAAATTAAATCAAGTAATATGAAGAAGAACGTACAACTTTCAATTCCGAGTTTACACAATTGCGAATCGAATGGGAACAAAGTGAGATCCATCCCTGAATTTGAAAACAATTAAACCAAGCTTCAATTTTCCCATGGGAGTAAATTTCGAGAGTTCAAGGAAAGAAGCTTCAGAATTAAGACATTTTAGCTATTTTTTCAGCTTTTTTCTTATTTTATTGTGTCACTAGCCACCTTGTCACCAGTACTGATGCGCACAACACCATTTTAGACTGATGGAGTGCCTTTGACATTTGTGGATCGCACTGGTAATCCTACCGATGTGAGCCGTACGTAGAAAGGATGGCCAAGTGCTCCACCCTTCACACAAGGTGTTGCGCCTTGCACGAGCACCTCAGCCCCTTCAGCCCGCTTTTTGGAACAGCCGCTCGCAAGAAGTTTTTAGCTCCAAGCTCCTACTCAATAATAACTGACAGCTTTAGATCGAGATTGGTCACGACACAACAACTCAAAACGGGGCAGTTTTGAAAATGGTTGATCTCCGGTCTAAAAGATAAACAAAAAGAAAAACCCTCAACAAATGTGATTCCCATGCAGATCCCGTAAGATCCTTTTTATGCAACAGATTCCTTGTGTCCATTACCGTAGAGCAGACCGAGATTTGCCCACAAAGTCAGCTTGGGTTTATGTGGTTCAGTGGCAAGAGGAGCCATTCCACCTAGCGCACACTCACTCGGGTCGAGGAGGGAGTTAAAATCCCGGCGCTCTTAACGCGAGATCCTTTCAATCTCCCCGAATTATTAGATGCAGGAAAGACCGATAGAGAAAAGAAACCCTTTTTTTTTATTTTTCCAATTTGTAATGTTTTTTTCAAATGCACCGAGTCCTAAGGCTCGCGTTCATACTACGCGGCAGCGTCCACTAGCGTTTCGGGCGTCTGACAGCGTGGGAAAGTACAGACACTGATCTAGCGTCTGGTAGCCGCGTCTAGCGGCGTGGTGTGCCAGTGTGCCACCAAGCGTCTACCAGCGTCCGGGTGAGGAGAGCATGGCGCAGTAAGAAAGTAGCAGGCAGCTGCTAGAGTATGGCGCGATAGGAAGGTAGCAGAACTCTCCCGGAGCTGGTGCACGCTAACTGACGCTGGCAGACGCAAGATCGATATCTATACTTTCCAATGTCGCCAAGCTGGCGACTCTTTCCTCTTGCTTTTGCGTAAACAACTATTGCCTTTGTTAAGAAGTCAGTGATGCCGCGACTCGGAAGTAGCGATCCATATCCGGAAGACGGTCATGGTAGAGCTTCTAGAAGCGCGCAGCAAATAGCTAATGTATCATCCCTAGGTCGAACCGCTCTAGGAATATGTCATGAAACTAATAAAATCAAAAATAAGAATTAATACGCCCACAAGTTACTACTAAAGAATAGGCGTCGACTGTAGAGGATGGTGCCATCGTTTCGTAACCTGAATACAAAAAATTTCGCAAAATAGTAGGGGAAAAGGCATAGTGAATCTCCGTAAGCCCATACCACGATAATCAAATGAGCTGCACCGTACGAGAAAAAAAGAAACAACCAATGAGGAAGTCACGATGATCGTAAGTCCCTGCCCATTTAATTATGCGAACGTAGCTTGGATCAGGCCTCGACCGAGTTTGTGGTCTTCAAAGGCGATATTTTTTAATGGACTCTGCGCGACAAAAAAAAAAATTGAAGCGCTCACATTCAGAAATTCAATCAAGGTGCGTGGTCGAAGCATCCTTCCGGGAACATCAAGCAGGCAGTTTTCGAACAACGAGGGCTGGCACGATTGGCTTTGCTTTCGCCACTCGTCTTTTCCAAGCGAGGATGACTCGAATGGTACCAGATGTGTCTGCCCTAAACCGGCATGCACACCGCCTGTGTGGGGATGAGTTTCGCCCGACGAAACTAAGGGACTCCTCCCTACTCAAGGGAAAAGAAGGCATCCGGACGGCCAAGGGGAAACGAGGCCTGTACCCCTGTCAGTGATTCACACAAATGTATGATCCATGATTGAAGCTAAGCAAGTTGGAGTTCACGCTTCTGTAAGCAAGAGTCCAACTTAGGCACGTCAAAATCTTTTGGACACCCCTTCCAAGGAACGCCTGCAAAAATACTTAGATGAAGAAGAAAGATGAATGTTCGGCTTACTACAAGTGAGCTCGCCCCCTTTGCTGACCTGTGTGGGCTTCAATCGCCGCCGGCTTCGTGTCGCAATGATAGATCAGCTGGAGACAGAAAACCCTCTATAGAGCCCTCCAAATCGCCCTATACAGGACACCTGCCCCTGCCACCTTGTAGGTGGACACATTTGGAGAGAAGGCCGGCCGCTACACAAATTTCTCACATGTTGTCATCACTGTACAGGGTGACCAAAAAGTTCTGGCAATTTTTCGGAATACTTCGGTTGCATAAAAAATACCGTTAAAAAGGAAATCAGCCAACTAAACGTCTGGGAGTCTTCATCTAATCAGTACCAATGACCGTATACAACAAAGTTCCAACAAGTGTTCAAAAATGCCTCCTTCAGCCTCAACACATTTACGTAGTCGTTTTCCAAAGTGTCCGACAATGGTCGCGCATTCTTCTGCTGTAGTTTGGTCCTAAACACGCAGCAACCGCTCACTTTCAGGTGGTAAACCGTTGCGCATCGAATTCCTGAGATTTTTCGACCTAGATGGAATAATCCATGGGGTTCGGACCATGCTAGTTGGGAGGCCAAACGTCCTTGCCCCAAAATCGGGAAGCAGCTCTTCACAAGCGGCAGTTCGTGGGTTTGGCAGGATGTGCTGGCTCCCAGTCTTGCTGAAGCACACGTTCACCGGGCCGAAGTGCTACGACACCCATGGCTTCAGTACATCGCGGAGAACGCGTTGTTGGGAGTAGACAGCATTAATCTTTACGATGCGCTCGATGAAGAAATGAGAGGTCTTTCCGGTGGCACAGATCCCGCCTCAGACCGTGACTGAGGCTGGAAAGAGTCTGCGTCCGACGGATTTCACAGCCGTTGCCTTCTGTTGACCTTTTCTGAGGAGCAGACAACAATTCCGGTAGTTGTGATCGAAAATTTTTCTCGTCGGTGGCGAGCACATTCTTCAAGCAACAAGCACCGACCAGAAGATGGGTTTCAACAACTGCAACTTTTTGATTTTTTCGAGACAGTGCGAGGAGAAATCGAAAGTGATTGGATAGATGACTCGTACGGTAGTTCGAAATGGCTTGCGGAATACAAATAACCTATCGGAGAGAAAACAGACCATAATGGCCATTCAAAAACGCACAAACACGAAATTGCCAGAACTTTTTGGTCACCCTGTATTCCTCGTATGAAGTATCAGCTCTTTCCACTATCACCTCGCTCTCACCATTTGGAAGGGAGAGAGCTAATAGAGGGGTTACTAGACAGGCTAGTTTGCCCACAGGAGTGGCATGGGCGAAAGTGTGGCTCATCAGGCTCACGTGTTCAGCTTTCGCCGAATTCCTTGTAAAAATTTTCCACTTTTTGAATGCAGATCTGCCCTCTGCTAATTGCCTACCGGATCATCTACACATTTGACAGGTAATGGCCTTGGTTTATTGCGGAGTGTGCCTTTAGAGCTGAAATGGCAGTCGACTGAGGTCAGGCGAAGGCAACTAAGTGATACCTGAGTCAAGTGGAGCTATGTTAATACTTTGGCTGTGGTTTAAGCCATTTCGGACCTCATACGATGCCAAGGTTCAAAGCTGATCATGGTTTCACCAGTTATTGTCGCTCGCTCACGTGAGCGATTGGTGGGGAAAAGTTGGCGCCGCATCAACTCCCCCTACCCCCTCCTCCACCCGTAACACGCCTATCCACGCACACCTCTAGCTCTATTATCGCTGGATCGCCTCAGCAATTGGTCGAGGAGAGGCTGGCATCACGCCAAACGCACTCCCTCCCCGTGACGCGCTCCAGTATCTGCAGCGAGTAGGATTACATGGTTTCTCGCCGCAAAAAATCCTTAGGGTTTCAGGATTTTTTGCGGCGAGAAACCATGTAATCCCAAGTGCAGAAAATGGGAAATTTTAGTAAGTCATACAGTGCTCCATTCTCGCGACACGCGGCGCAGCCGCAGA